CTCATCTCCATATCCGGTCCAAATCCATATTGCCGATATTATCGGTGTCTCGATGTGTCAAAAAGAGGGTACCGTCCGTTTAGCTTTAGTTATCAAAGGGTTGTTCTCTTAAATATTTTGAACAAAATGTTGGAATGTTGTAGCTCGAGAACGACGATCACGTCTTCAAATGGGTCGACGAAGCTTTCACCGATGAGATTGAACAATTGGAGTACCAATTTCTAATGCTAAAGAAGAAGTTCAATTGCACAAAGCAACAACAAGCAGTGAAGGTCCCAAAAAAATGCCTAAGATAATGATATCATGATGTTGTGTTGTTAGTATCATCATTGTCGTTGTAGTTCTCGGTCGAATTATGATGTACAAGTGATTCCTAAAGCTAGTGACTTTGTCAAACATTCTGTTTTGTCTAAGTTTTTTGTAATTTATGCGAAGTTAAAAATTATGTTTGTCTAAGTTTCTCCTAAATTATGCGAACTTAAACAACTACTACGACGTATGGTCAATTTAAAAAGTTTCTCAAATGTTTACGATGTTGGACAATTGAGAAATAGAACCTAACACAAAATTTGATCTGGTTATACGAACACTAACTTTCAAGTTAAGTTGAACTACTAAGAAGTTTGGTAAACTTAAAAGTTTCTCAAATGTTTACGATGTTGGACAATTGAGAAATATAATCTAACACAATTTGACATGGTTATAGGAACACGGACTTCATGTTAACTTGGAGTTATTTTTAGAGCACCATTATCCCATGTTTTTGGTGGGTTTCTTAGCCACTTTTTGTGTGGGCTCCACTAAAAACACAAGCAACCATCCCTTATTTTGCTAAAATAAGCAACTGATTTGGGGTGTTTCTTGCACTGTTCGCGGGCCCCACCGACACATGGTGGCCTGCGATTGGTTCTTTTTTATTTTATTTTTCATACCAAAAAAAAAAGAAATTTAAGCAACCCAATATTGGGTTGCTGGGATAATGATGCTCTTAGGTTCACGCACTTGGACAATTACAAAAGTTGAGGAAACCATTTTTAATACACATTAACGCAGTTTAACATCACAAACCAAGTTTCAAAAACACTAATACATTAGATAAAACCTTACAAAGGCCCTATATCCCCGTACTTCCGGACGTAAGGGTCACTGTTATTGACCAATTTTCTGAACTCCTCTACCTCCGGCAAGCACGGACTGAACCTTGAAGATAGACTAGTCCCCCTCGATCTGAAGCCATTCTTCTATAGGACCAGAATAAACTGTATAAATGAGTTTAGATAAGGTTTTAGTCAACTAACACATTTAAACCTGAACACATAAGCATAAACTTCGCTTATAGAAATAGTCGCGGACTCTCCACATCTTAAGGACCACAACCACCTGTCAACGACCTCCCATGTTTTCAAACCCTTCCCGAAAGACATAAGCATGTTTCCCAATTGCTACACATTTTATCTGACTCTCACTATGATGAATAAAACAAGGTGAGTCAATTACACTAATGCAAACATTTTGTTTTGATCATACTGTTACTTAATACTTACATGTTATCCCTTATGTAAAACACCATATTTGGTCCTTCAGGATCATTAAAATGGGACCACTTCCATTGTATCTACCAGATAAGTATATTCGATTCAGTTACTTACATATGAAATATATTTATTAGTTAGAATTCATACCTATGGGAAAATTTATCTCCTTGTAGCTCATGTGAGGGATTTCATGAATGCCTGTGAACTCAAAGTAAAGCTGATCGTTCAGAGGATCGATGATGTGGATTTGGGTATCGCCAGTAGAAGTTAGTGTGAATTTGGCTTTTTATACCTTAAAACTTGAATGGTCACGGCCAACTTCTACAATAAAGATTTCCACCCATTTTCCCTCTTGCTTTTCTAGGCCTCTAAACCTATCTCCATAGATATCATAGATGGTCATCTCCTTCTTGGTTCCTTGCATAAATTAAGTTTAACAAGCGAGTTTATATTTTCCATTGTTGTTATTGGAAACTTGAGAGATGATGCATGATTTTGTACATACATGTTCATCTGCTAGGACATAAACATGGTGTGGTCCTTTGCCAGTAACATAGGAATAGAAATGATAGATCCTTATGATTTTGACTCTAAAACGCCAATGCTTGACCTTCTCGTTATTGACAACTTCACCAAAAGTATTGTAGTGTTCCATATTTGAAAGATGATGAATTATTTCTTTGCAGTGAAATGTTTTTAGATATAAAGGAGACGATTTAACTTAACTTACTGCGGTGGAGTGGAGATTAAATTGAGGGTTTCTTAAATTGAATGCAAATGTAATTATGATCTGGTTTAGTTGTGGGATTTAAATGAAGTGTAATGATGATAATAGGCGACTGTTAGTGTGAAAATTCGTGTTTTTCTTACTGAAAACAACTTGTTGTGTTGGGGTAATAAATCTGAAAATTATGGAGGGAAGCCACCGTTTGCCTATCTTTCTTTTTTTTTTTTTTTTTGTCGACTGCCCATTTTAGCTAGATCAAGTGGTGGTCATACGAGTGGATTCTCCGTGGAGTATCTCCGTATGGCCTGTTCTGATCTATGTGGGAAAAAATGTATCATTTCCTCCTTGCTTCTTTGGCTAGTGCATCCGCTTTTTCATTCCTACTCCGAGGAATATGAGATAGACTCACATCTTCGAAGCCCTCTTGTAGTCGCTGAAGCATCTCAACCTCTGTCGCAAAAGCTGGCCATTCCTTCGGGTTAGTAAACATGTCTACTAATTCCGAACAGTCCGTCTCAATCTGTACCGAGGTTACCCTCATTTGTCTCAAACATGAGACTGCCCAGATTAGACTTTCCATCTCCGCATGCAAAGCAGATCTGCTCCTTTTATATGCTCGCAGACCGAATCGTTCAGACCGAATTGTACAAGTCTAATAATATCTTGCCTCATCTTGCTCCAGAACTTCTGAAAAAGCTTACTAGTCATGCCATCCGGGCCTGGTGCTTTGTCTGGGTTTATCTCAAAAAGGGCTCTTTTAATTTCTTGTTCCGACGGTTCCTCTAAGAGTAACCTATTGTCGGTCTGAGACACCTTTTCAGAAATAAATCGTAATGAGGTATCAACCTCAGTCGGCGAAGAAGTAGAGAAGAGATCCCCGAAAGTATTGAACAGCCACACTCTCCACTTCGTTTTCACTCTCTACCAACCTTCCATGCTTATCCTTAATGCTTATAATTTGATTCTGTGTTCTGCGTTGTTTCGTGGTGGCATGGTGAAATTTTGTATTTCTGTCCCCATGTTTGTGCCATTGATCCCTGTTTTTTTTTCCCAAAAAGTATTCTCATCCTTGAAAGCTAGAATCTACTGCCTCCTTAAGTCTTCCAGCTCCTCTGTCGTGGCATTGTCATCATCTTGAGCAAGGTCGATCTTATTTTGTGATTATGTAATCAAAACAGCTGAGTTTGTCAGATTATTCTTCTTCCAAGTGCTAATCTTGTTCCGACATGAGGTAATTTTTTGATGAAAATTCCATACTGGAATTTCATCAAGAGGTCCCCATCACGAGGTTACAGCTTCCTTGAAGCCCGGTTTCCCAATCCACCTCTTATCGAATATGAAATTTTTCCTTGTTTTTGGGTGGTGGATTTAATTCTCGTAAGGACCGGTCTATGATCCGATCCCCATAGTTGTAGGTATTCTGATATCACTCAAATGTTTAACCCTAAGGAGTGAATTACTCTCATCAAAGAGGTTCAATTGTAGTACTTAGGGATCGAATCCACAGAGATCTAAGGCACACACTAGATCTAATAGTTATAGTTAAGCTAGGTAATCAAATAATAAAATAGAACAGCAAAGAATAATAAATAAAGCAGTAAACAAGTTGAACAAGGTAAATTGTTCAGCATGGCAAAGAGTTGTTTATGGAAGGTTGGTTGCTAGATCTAGGGTTTCTATTCAGGTAATCAGGATTATAATGCTATAGATGCCTAACAAGTTGCATGCATAATATTAAAAAGCTTCAACTCTTAGATAAATCCAATAGCTTTCGCTAAATAGACTCGTCTGTTGACCTAATTGCCGACGATATCGATCGATGTTTGACAGCTTGTATCGATCGATATATGTGCCGTCGATCGATTACTCTATAGGAGCATCGATCGATATAGATTTAGATCGAGTTGAATAAGTGCCCACCAAGATCATAGACCGGCTCTCGCGTATCCCTAGAGGACCTTAGCTTGTACAAGATGAGATCAGGATGATGATTAATGAATTAATCAATTCCAGTTCATGGTTCTAGTTCATGACTCTAGAAACAAGCATTAAGGTTCATCATGACAATGAATATCACAACTTAGAAATCTATAGTTGGGGCTAATCCCACAACCTATATGAACCCTAAATCCAACAGGTGGATCTATTCAGACATGAAAATTGTCACAGAAATCATAGATGAATAGATATAAAACTAAAATAGAATAGATATAAAAACCAATGGAGTTCCAGGAGGACTCTGATAGGAGTTCCTCCCTTCTCTCATAACAAAATAATAGAACTGAGAAAAGCTTAGATAGATCTGCCGTCAACAATGGCTTAGAAATAACATAAATAGGGTTTCAAGTCGTCAAGGGTATTTTGGTAACTTCTGGGCCTCAGTCGGTCATGAAATATACTCAGCCCACATTCTGGCATCCATATCGATCGATATGAATGCTTTCCCATCGATCGATATACATTCCTCTTCTCGACAGCCTTCTCTCGCGAGGCAGACTGACCACTCGTCAGTAAACTGGGGATAACTTCTAATCTAACTGTTGGATTGACCTCAAACCGGTGGCATTGGAAAGCTAACTCAAAGCTATATCTTGTGTCTAAAGATCCGCTAAATTGCACCATGGGAAGGTATCCATCCATATCTAAACATCTGACGCGTCTGCGCAGTTCTGTACTTAAAGGCTCTCAAAGATACCAAAATTACCATATTTCTCCAGAACGTACCTGAACCTGTAAATACTCTAAATAGACTCTATATTGTAGTAAATATATATGAGAACACCTATAAACCATGGCTAAAATCCATGGTCGATCAACTCCCCCAGACTTACCCTTTTGCTTGTCCTCAAGCAAAATAGACAGGCAGTCTCTCTGAAAGCGGTTTGAAAACAGCGGGTACTCAAAATATTTTAAGAACTCAGTCACCATCTCTCTAGTAGTGAAAACCAAATCATAAACATCCTAACCTTAGAAGCACATTATACAATATCTTAGTATAACAACCAAATTCACCTAGTCAACGACTCAACAGATCATGTCTGACAATCCCCTCTACTAACCTCATTTCTTGCATAAATAAAAGTGCAGGCTTTACCTTGGGAGTATCGATCAAAGGACACGTGGACTCTCGCCCCAACAGATATCTGAGTAAATAGGCAGTCTTATTCTGGTTTCTTTTCTCCCTATATCTCCCTTCTCTGAATCCCAAAAAAAAATCTTTTTTTTCTTTTTCTTTTATATCAATCCCAATGAACAACAGATGTTCATCTTATTGATCTTTCTACTTTTTGTAGCTTTTTCTGACAACGTGTAGGCGCATAGTGGGGTCATGGGTAATGTACCTCTCTCGCTTCCACAATGTGTGATCATTCCTTTGAATTAGAATAGTTGGGTCATAGGTAATGTAGCTCTCCCTCTGCCTCTCAAGAAATCATCTCAATCTTTTATTTTTCTCTTTTTGGGGATGCCAAAGGAAGGAGAGAAGGAAATCAAAATCACCAAGACTTTTACCTTTCAGATCTGAAGGAGGAATCCGATCCAATGTATACCAAGCCCCAAGATAAGCAAATCAAGTCAATATTAGGTTGGAGGTCAGCTTTGGTTCCTTCAAACATTCTCAGCAAGTGCAAACATAGTTGACAGGTTGATCCACTTTGGTATCTCTAGTACTTCTGTAATCAGTAAATCTAAGACTAATCTAAAGAGTGGTTAGATGACAAGTAATAAATCGAAATAGATCATCATCCCCTTCTTGGCTCAATAAAAACTTTTTGAAAACAATTTAAATAAGACTCATAAAGAATATAAACGTTAGTAATCCCCCCAGACTTATATTACACTGTCCCCAGTGTAACACAGTCGGTGGTAAGGTGAAAATAATAAAGCAGAAGTACGAAATTTAACAAGTAAGAACGATATACCTGACCGTATTAAGTATCGATCGATGAAAAAGAGTTACCATCGATTGATGTAAGTGATGTACTGTCAATCGATATAGACTGTTTCTCGTCGGTCGATTATCATGGCAATCATCTACTCGGGTCTGCTTTTCTAAATATCTAACTAAACACACAATATTAGTAGAACCTCCCCCAGACTTAAATAACACTGTGACCAATGTTATACAGCCCAAGATTGGTGGGACAATAAACCATAAGGAAAATATTAACAAAGAAAGACTGTATACCTGCTTTGATGTGAGTATCGATCAACACAGTTAAGTGGCGATCAATACTTGTGATGATCTGTCGAGTGACACCGGCCGGTTGTCTTTCGATAGCTGGCGCAGAACTCATCTTCCTTGAATCTTTTTCCTAATACCCAACATAAATAAAACACTAAACTCTAAAAGTCAGCAATAGATAACTAATAAAACCAATTTTTTTTCGATGAACAGTGCTCTGCTACAGTATTTCCAAATTTTCCGGTACAATGTCGATCGATTTTGTTGCTACAGTGTCGATCGATGTAC